GAAGATGTGTAGATGTGGCACTTAAGGACGTGTTTTAGTCCTTTCCTTCTGTATATCAGGCTCTGGATTCACTTTGTGCTCTTCTGCTGTTGTCCAAGTGACACAAAGGCTACCTTGTTTTCTACATTAGCTGTACCCAGGAGAATTTGATACACAGAAATGTAATTTAAATTCAGGCAAGAGGAATTCTTAACTGATATTAATCCCTCCTCTTTTGTATGTACATTGCTTCAATTGCAAGTCTGGTCATTGCCCAGTGTTACCAGGATCCCTGCAGATTTTCTTTACACACTTAATTGACAGAGACCAGATTCTAACAGAAGAAACAGCAGTATGTCATTTGTCACTCCACTAAGGACTTTGGGAAAGTAACATATGTGAACTATATTCCCCAATAATTCATCAAGACTGCACAATCTGTAACTTCCTGCTCTGTTTCCAACTCACTCCCTTTCATAAATCTATCAACATCCACAAGGAGCTTTGTGATACTTTATATAATAGGGGATACCATACAAAGGGCTCAGTTGCATGTAGCTAGTTTATATCTCCAATTTTTTTTTTTTTTGATGTTGTTGGTTTTGGTTGTTTTTGGTTTTTTTTAACACTGGCCTTCCCTCCCTTTTTCCCACTGCTAAAATTGGTCAATATCAACACCACTGATGGTCAATGATCTGAATTGGTAATCTCATTCACATACACACAACATCCTCAAATCATTCAAGTTCCTCAAAACCCAAGCAGAAATTACATTTCTTAATAGCATGAAGTCTATGACTTGTTTCTGACAAGGTAAAAAATGCCCATGTGTCGCCATCTGTTGCACATCACTTCTCCCCACATCTCACCAAACCATTCCTTCATATAGCTTGAGAAATCTGTCCCAGGTCAAAAGTAACATAAATATGGAAGAGAAGCATTAGATTGATTTTCCATGACAATTTAGGTAGTCTGCTGTGGTATGTTTGCAGGGCATATTGTGTAGCAGAGCCATGACCTATTTTAATACCAGATATATTGTGATCAAAAAAACAGGTAGCAAGATACAAAATGTTTGTTGGATTCCTTAAGTTTTCCAGTCTGGTAAGTGAATACTACAGGAAACCCCTTTTCCTTCTGCTGGTTCTGTTGGCTAATGGCATGATACAAATTCACAAGAAAATAGGAAAGAGAATTTGCCCAATGCCTTTTTGCTCCAGTCTTGTTCAGATGCTATGGTTCTCTCTGATTTCTTCTTTACCTTCATAGACTACATCCCAATTCATATTAAATTGCAGCTCCTTCAAGACAAAAAGCAAAACCTGTGGCTTTATTTCTGTACTAGCTACTTAGTACTACTGCTTTCCTATTCAAGACAGCTCCAAGGAAAGATCCTCCTTCACCTTGCCCTGCCATTAGTTCTCAATCAAAGCCCTGTCTGCATTGAGTGACCAGCACTGAATGCCTCAGAAAAGGTTACAAAACTTCCATAATTGGGTAATAATTCACCTTAGGGAAGTTTGTTCCTAGTGACAGGATGCTAGTGGGCAGCTTAAGCACTCATACACGGAGCTAATGGAATTAGAAGCTATCTGCATTATTTGGGAGGCAGGAGGCAATACAGTAAAGGAGGAAACAATGAGATGATTGAAAAGGATCTTGGACCACAGACACATTTTCTTGTTTTTAAGCAATCATTCTGTTCCTTATAATAATTTATGCCAGGATGATCAGAGTCCTCAGAATTTTTATAGCCAGAGATGAGAAGAGTTGTAACATGTACGATCTGAGCACCATAGACCAAGGACATACTTTAGGTACTTATGTCCCCACAAAAGGTCTTGCTTTCCCCTTCCTGAAGCTGCCATATGCAAACTGGTTTGGAGAAATAGTCCATCTAACACAACAAGCTGCCACCAACAGCCTTGAAATTTCCCCAACACACCTTCACAGCCTCTGGTAGTTTTGTCCTGAACGCACATACACTTCCAGACCCAACACCTTACAGCAATGAGTCCAACAGCAAAACTCGTCTGTGCTTCAGGTGATAATAGGCAACTACGCTAAGGCTTTCAAGGGAAACTTGAAAGGCTCAAATTACACACAAACAATAAAATGAGTAATACGCACTTACACCTCTTAATAGGACTGCCAGTGGCCAATCTGTTGCACTTTAGACCCGATGTTTCACAAGCAGTTGAATAAAAGTGTATTTCCCTGGAGTGTAATAACAGCAAAAGAAGACTGACCAGGGATGAATCCTTTTCACCTGAGTCACTCAGCAACATGCAACTACTCTGCAAACATAACAGTAGATGTTGCTTCATCAGTTCCTTCCAAGCTTATCTGCTGCAGAAAAGGTTAAGAATATTTACCATGTGTCGCCTTTCATGATATGTTTATTTTATTAGTGCATGTCCTTGAACTAACGCTGCATTTCATGTACCTGCCAGATAAGTGACTGAAGGGACTTGGCTTCTGGGACTGAGAACTCAGGGTGGGGAGGACGGGAGGGAGATGGGTGCATTTCAGTACAGATAAGGAGTTCCAATTCTCATGCTCATGCAAATGGCAGGGACACAAGTGGCTCACCTTGTAAAGGACAGATTTGCAAACATTTTATTCTTCAAGACTGATCTTGGAGTGCCAGAAATCAGGTCCCATTTCAAAATCCCTGTTTTTCCCCTAATAATGCTGCCATCTACTTTAGCCTGTAAAGTTGTCTCTCTTAGATGAGACATTTTGGGATAAAAAGAAATACTGAGCAATCTCCCAGAGGCTTATCCATAGCCTAAGACAGACTGTTGGGTAAACCTGAGGAATTCCTTTCTGTGAACTGTCACTGATGGTATTAATCCCAGGCTGGTGGATCAGCCCTGATGGCTGAACTGTGCCATGGTCACTTCCCAGTGTAGACTGGTTTGCAGTCTGCACACACCACCTTGCATGGATTCATTGCTTCCAGAGGAACCTTGGACTGAGCTGGGCTCAGGCATGTGCCTAGCCAAGCTTAGAGACAAAAACTACTCTAGCACAGTGAAGACTTAATGAAGTTGTCAGCTGCCAAGTTGAAGACTTAAAAAAGAGAATCAGAGACATTGAAAAGAATGTGCTTGGCACTGACCTCTCTGTCCTGTGGTGCCACTTGGACCCCCAAGGCACTGCTGCAAAAGGAACTCGGTATCCTCCACCAGCTGATGGGTCTTCAGGTTCAACCTGGCAGGCAAGAACCAGGTGGGTCCAGCCCCACACCAAGGGGCTCCCTGCAAGTCACCTCTTTGTCCTCTTGCTGAAGACGGGCTGCTTCTCTTTCACTCTTGACTTCTGCACCTTTCTTCCTTCACGAATGCAGCTTCAGCAGCCCCAAACAGCAATGATCACTGCAGCTCCTCCAGTATTTTTTTCCCTTTTTTGTGTGTGCATTGTATATGGAAGCATAGCAAGAGAAACCTTCTCCTCACAGGTGTCTTTTATCTCAAATTGCTGCTTTTTTCCAGAACTAATGCCTTTTAAGTAGCCTTTTTTTTTTTTTCAGATATATATTTTAGAGGCCACTACAACACTTTCTGGTTTTAAATTTCCTTTGCACATGCCCAGAGTCAGCCACCAGACTGATTTTCTCCTTCCTATCCCTCCAGTTGCCCACAGCTACTGGCCTCACGCAGATTCACTCCCACTTTACTCTGAGGGCTTAGTTTCACAACTCTCCAGCAAAAATTAAAACAGAGATTGAACAGATCAGCTGGGAATTTTGGACTTCTGATTTTGCAGCAATTCACTTCTGTTAGAAGGTGGAGACAGAGACCACTAGTTCATCTCCTGTCCTAAATGTCTAAGTAGGAGAACAGCGTTCCCTAAGAAGTGCTATGGAATCTATGGAATGTGTTCTCAGCTCATCTGAATGCAGATGCTGAGGTTTAATGCTTATTATAAACTGAGCATAGTTAGCACACAGGCATCAGGTCTGTGATACTGCAGCATCAACAACCCCACAGCTTCTCTCTGGTGTTCCTCTCTTTTTTCTTCCTCTGCCCCCACACCATTTTCTTTTCCTTACACTTTCTCAAGCCTTAAAAGACCTCCTGTCTTTAGAATTTCTGTCTGCTTTGGTTTTCTTTACCAGGGATTTGCCCTCCTTCTCTCAGTTCTCTTGGCGACTCCCCATCATCCTTGTGTGAACCAAGAAATTCCTGACAGCTGCACTTCCCATCTTGTGCTTTGCCATCGCTGTAATTTTGTTTGTGTGCACGCAGGGACAGCGTGAGGAGCCCAGCCAGCCTGAGACACGGCTGGAATCCCACAAGAACTGCAGGTGGAGCCAAACACTCCATCCATCCTTGGAGCAGCCCAGCTCGGTGACAAAGCCCAAGCTCGGAGCCCTGCGAGCACCTGGGGGAGCCCGGAGCTCCGTGCCTTGACACGCACATTTACCACCAGATTTGCTGGGGCTGTACAGCTGCGCTTCCCCCTGCACAGTTTGGCTGCTGCTTTGTGCTGGCTTTTTACTTTTATAGCAGGCAGCTGTGCTCCATGAAGAGACTGGGCAGGATTTAATCAATAAATGTTAGAAAACTGACCATTTTCCCCTTGCTCGCTCTCCAGACGCTCAGCACAGCTTTTCCCCTACATGCACGGGCTGGTCTTTCAGTCTCTCTCCTGCCCTAAGACCTGCACCAGCTGGTGCTGTTGCTGTGACAGAGTCAGATGCTCCCCCACATTGACCAGAAATTATAACTGACAATGATCCTGGACAAGAAAGACACATTGGTGATATATATTGATGATTTTGAATAAGGATAAGTACTGAATCCTACAAACTCTATCCATAATCCATTACCTCTGAAGCATCTCTCTCTATGACTCAGCATCTGGTAGTTAGCTGAATCCAAACTTTTATATTATTGAATTAAAGCCATCTTCAGAATGATTTCTTCATGTTCCTAGAACTGTACAAAACCACAGGAGCAGTCAAGTAAAATATGCAATAATTCATAGTTATCAGAGCAACAAGGCAAAATATGTGATTCCTCTTTTTTTTTTTTTTATTAAGAAAATTATTAATGTGGCATCAGATGTTTGGAAAGAAATCCATCTTATGGTTTGTTAATCAGAACAATATACCCTAGAATACAGAGAGAGAGAACTCTCAGGGCTGAAAGGCTCTGCCACTTATTTCCTACAGGAAGATGTTAAGACTCCATATGCATTTGTTAGCCTGAAATTTGATGCTGCCTATCCATAAGCATTTCCAACCTGAAAGCACTTAAACATATGGTTAATTTTAAGCAAGTAAGGAATGAAAAAAAATTCAAGCTGAGTGCTTATGACCTGGAACACAAACTAGATGAGCTGCTGAAAACTCTCGGAATAATATAGTGGCCAACACATCTCAGAGATTCGGTTGGGAAGTTTTATATAGATCAGGTTTTTTTTTCTCATCCTGTAATATTACACTAATATTTTGTCTTTAGCGTATGCATGGGACATCCCCAAGCACTACAGTGTCTCTCTTGAGGAATGGCTGCATTTCAGCTGTCTCTGCAAATCTTATCAATTTTGGTGTTACTCTGGGGTTCCTGGTAATGCTTTCCATAATGGTGTGATCTTGTAAATAATCCATTATAAATTATTCTTTGTCTGCACACAGGTGAGCAAATGTCTCACACTTTGCAGATGTTGTTAGCTGAGGTGAAAAATCACCAGCTGGCTGCTGGTTTTAGCAGAACAATCAGCACAAAGTACCAAAAGGTGGTTATGTCTCCACCCTACTGTGTGGCATGATCAGCTCGAGGCTGATGCATTTTTTAGGTATGTCCTTTGTTTAGCAAAATGAGACAGCTGAGGACAGGATGTAGTCCTAGAGGCACGATGAGCAGACCATGTCTATTTTGTTCATCCATTTTTCCAGCCTCTGACGTGTTTTATAAATAAGCAATGACAGGCAAAAAGCAATTGAATTAGATCCCCAAAGCTTTACTAAGACAGACGACCCTTGAAAGCACAGCTAGGATATTAAACATAGAGAAAGTATAATTCTTAATTTCTAGGCATCTGTGAGAATAATTACCATTCTTTTGGGAGCATTGTAGTGACTGTAGCTGGTAGATGTCTAAATGAGACAATATTTCCTTCTGATATTGCATATTAAGATAACTGATTCCTATACCAAGACAAATGTTTCATATAACTCTTTCATCCCTTTTCTTAATGTGTGCAATTGTGAAAGAGGAGCACAGTGGGGATTTAGTGGCTGTATCTCTTTATGAGTCTGAACTGTGACATGGAGGACTTGGTGAGTTTATTGATTTTAATTTCTTATATTTGGGATTTATCTTCTCAGCTTTAACTTAACAGTTGAGAATACTCACAATGTTGATATGGAAAGCTGGCTACCCAAGGGCAAATTTCAGATCCTCATTTCTCCACCTGTGTACTTATTTTTCTGCTCCTGGATGGATACCAGATGCCAGGCTTTGATCAAGAGTGGCTGACAGGTACACTCTGTGAGAGAGAATTCCTCTCTCTCAGCCTCCATAACCAGAGCTGAGAGGAGCGGGGGACCTTAAGTGAATTTCCATGAGTATCAGAGGGAAAGATCAAACATTCCCTTTGAAGATACTTTGTTATTGAAATCTAGATCATGACCTCAGATTTGGCTTGAAAACCATTGACTACAAGGCACACAGTACTTTTAGAGGGTAAAAGGGTCTGAAAGGCAGGGGTTGATAACTGTAGGTGCCAAAATATTTATTTTTCCCAGAAAGACAGCCAGAATGGTCCTGAAAGCAAAGACAGAGAAAACCTGCTGAGAAATCTCCTTTCCAGGTTATGTAAGAACAACCATCCTGCTTTGCAGTAGTGACGAAAAGTTTAGTTTTTTGTTTAAACCAGATTCATCAATTCTCAGGCCATTTTAGTACAGGAAGGAGTGCTGAATTAGGTTGATTTCCTTAGTGGACCATTTAAAGACCAAGTTAATAAGGAGCTTTATGACTGAAAAATCATGTGACAATATAGGAAAAGTAAAGAGCTATGAAACAATAGATGGAGCATGTCTGTCATCATCAGAAAAGGTGTTTCTTCCTGTGGATCACTGAACTTTGGTGCCAGAAGGAGTAATGCTTATCAGTGATTTGTTGTTCCCCTTGCTCACTTGATTGTTCTTTTAGATGTGGCACCATTTTTATCTTTTTCAAGTTCCTTGACATCTATGAAGAAAGTACTTGTGCCCTATCATGTCTCCACATTCCAGCACTCAGAGCCATAGCCTCGATGTTCCTTCAACCTCAGGTATTGCTGCCAGAGACAATTAATGGCCATAGGTTGCCAGGGGTAATGAACTCTAATGACTTCTGACTTCAGACTGTCTTGGTTCAGTAACACAGGGATTGATGTAAGATTTTCTTTAAAAGGTATTTTACTGACATGATTCCTCTCCTTCTTTGGTCACTCCACCCTCCCTTCCTTTCCCTTCTCTCTGCCAGTACTGCCAAGCCTGGCAGACCATTATTGCCTTCTCCATCTTCTGTTTTGGGATGAGATCACCACCAACCAGCCACAGGGCAGGGCTCTGCCCAAAGCCTTTTCCAGTTCTCCCATGTGCAAAGAGCCAGCACACATTCATGCCCATTATGGTGCTACACTGGACTCATTCATGGACTCACTTCTTCCTGCTCTGAGATTGCCTTGCCCCAGTGCTGTTTTCCTTGGCACAATCCATGAGACAAGGAGGAATTTTTACATCGAAGTCACTCCATCTCTGGGAAACATTTCCTCGTGCGCACATCCTAGCAAGAGATCTACTGCATCCGTAATTGCACCCAGCACTTGGAATGTGGTGACGTCTCCACATTTCCTGACCAAACATAGTCTTTGCCTTTGCCCAAGGGTGGAATGGGCTCTACCAGCATTACCTGTGGTCCTTTATCTCCTGCTTTCGTCATGCTCATTTTTATGTCTTTGGAGGAAAGTTGTGTTTTCTGCTGCTATGATGCTCTGCTGCCTGGCAAAGGAAACTTGCTGTATTTGTGGTATATATGCTCTTCTCCTTTCAGCTTTTTAGGCAACAGCAAGTCAGTGATCTCCTTTGTGGTTCTCTCCCTCTCAATGCTTCTGGTCTCATGAAAGACTTCTAAAATTCATGAATGCTCATTGCAAGCTGACCCATAAGAGGCTCAGTGCTCCAGCTTTCCTTTCTTCTGGGACAATTTAAATAAAGATAAGCTGCTGTTTTAGCTGATGTGAGGATAATGCACAGGGGTGTAGTTCTACCACACTACTCAAGCCTCGATGCCACACCAGCTGAGACCAGTGTCACAGTAATTCTATTGTCAGAGGTGCCAGAATGCACTCTTTGTACAGTAGCTTCAGATTAATCCTGGTATTAGCAAATCCTGAAAACAACCACAGCAGGTTTCAATTAACCAAAGCACAAACAGTTCTCACCAAAGGTGGGAGGGGAAATGATAAGGGTGACTTCATCCCTTCATGTTTAATGCACACTATGACAGATGGGGGAACCATGGAGAATATTAATAAATGAGATAGGAAGAAGAACCTTCACAGTGGGAACACCTGACTGCTGAGTTATCCTTCATCCCAGCTACCTCTTGGGTGTTCGAACAGGAGTTACTTCATCTGCAGTCACAAGCAGACACAGTTCCTCCCACAAACTGGTTGTGCAGTGACTCCTGTCCAGCTCAGTGCTCCTCACACACAGTGCCTTCCCTTGTGTAAAGCTACTTCAGGGTCCCCACACTTAAAAGTGAGATTCCTATTTCCAGCATCAGATTGGAACATGTTCACTGCCAATGGCTCTCTTACACTTCCGTGCCCACAGCAAACAGATCCTGCTGATTAACACAGGTGCAAACTGTCCTTTTAGCACTGCGAGTAGTAAAATCAGAATTAAGAAACGAGAGCTTTCACAATTTTCTTTTTTTCTCTACTCCAAGAATAAAATCTATGGATATAAAATATGAATAAATCTATGGAGGGTGTTTGGTAAAATATTAATAAATCTATGGAATTATGGATTTATTGATGTTAGCTTTTTGGTTTCTTCTGGAAAGTGTACCTCAGCTTCAGTTTTGGATGAACATATTCGTTGCACCTACCAGATTAAGATTTGTCTCTGTTGATCTTCTAAAGGGATAAATGAACCCTTTAGCAGCCCCATGGCAGCCTGGCTAAACTGCTAATTGTGCTAACTAAATTAATTGTGGTTAGTTTGATAAATCTCCACTACATTGTGCAATATAGATATAACTCAAGACAATGGAGCAGCAGTACCCTTTAATAACTGCACTTGAATCAGATTGTAGGTGAGTTCATGAGCTGCAGTACAGGAGAAGCTGTTTGCTCCAGGCATCTCTGCAGAGAGATGGAGGTTGAATGAAAATAGAGGCAAATCATTCTGAAGGAGCTTTTAGAGGGGCTTCAGACAGAAGGAAGAAAAAGATTTGGTAGAAGAGCAGATGTATAGGTGAGGGCTGAAAAAAGAAAAAGCAACCACTGTCAGGAACATTTCCACAGCCCAGCAGTCAGCATCAAACCCCAATCTCTTTTTCCATGCTCTCAGGACATTCCTAAAAAAGCAGCAGGAGCTGTGCACTGACAGAGATGGTTCCTTGCCTGGTCCTGCTTGAGCACACCAAGGCCTGATCCCTGCACAGGGACTAAGCCCTGCAACAAGGCTGGGGCAGCCCAGAGGTTGGACTAGAGGAAATGTCCTACAGGGAAGGCTTTTCCCTGCATCACTAGATCAGACCAGCGCTCATGCAGGAGGCATAATTAAAACACAGTGCATTGACAGATAGCTGCTTAATGAAAAAATTAACGAACCAGCTCTGGAAGATACAAATCTAAGGAAAAACAAACAACACACTGGTGCCCAGTCTGACAGGCTATCACAAAAAATTGTTTTCATTATTTAAGCAGTGTTTTGTCCTTTCTAACACTTACTGTGCTGTGCATTTTTTCCATTTTTCATGCAGTTTACACCCTTGAAGCCCTGCTCCATGTGGTTCTGGGGAGAAAATGTTCAGTCCAGGCTCTACCTGCAGTGACAAAAAAAAATATTTCCAGGCAGAGGGGGGCAAAAGGTACACATTCCACTTTTCAGCTTACTTACCTACATCAAAAGAAAATCTAAAAGAGAATGATGTGGGAGATGAGAATTAGCACCATCTCACTGGGGAAGGAGATTTCTAGCTGGCCTATGCAAAAAAAGCCAGGGGTAAATTCAATTCATTAACTCAGCATAAACCATCTACCTCTTTTCTGTTGTACTATTTTTTTCTGCCAGATTAGTGAGCTGAATCAGCATAGAGAGGGTCCTACGGGTGCCAGGGCTTGGATAAATGGCAGGATCTTAAATGTTGGACTGGAAGCTTAGTGAGCAGTAGGCATCAAGGAGATCTTACCCTGTCTGGGGGTACTGTTAGTCTGTAAAATTGGTGAGACAGGGATTGCACTTCAGCACTTCTGTGCACTTTTTGATTTGTACTTACATCTGTAGGAGACAGAATTTATAATACAACCAGAATAAAGTACAAGCTGTGATGAACACACCACCACCTCTACACAGGAGTATAATATAATCTCTACAATATACTTGGTAGATGGGTGTAAAAAGTGGTGGTCAAGTTTATATACAGGAGCTGCTATTCCTGCAGGATCTGATGGGTTGGCTCCAGTTGAAGTACAAGCCATTGCCATTTTCTGCTCCTTTGGTTGTGGTCAAGTGGACTGGACAGAGATCTCCAGCATTCACAGAGGACACCTGGCCTCCCTAGGACCACCTTAGCAGGACTGTGTGAATCCTGACCTCCTGCCTGCCATGGGGAATGGCAGAATCCCCTGCAAACACCCTCTCCTACTTACTGTACCTATTGTCAGTGGCAGAGAAATGTCTCAAAGGTGCACAAACAGAACAGGCTTTCAGGTTTCTCCAACACCAGTTCAACTCTCTCACACTGCCCTCCAGACTGGCCTGGGGTAGGTGCCACAGCCACACATCCACTTGCAGCATGAAAGCAAACAGTCTCCTTGGTGCCACTCAGCCCTGGTCTTTCAGGAATGAGTCACAGCCATGGCCATGGCTTTCCCCTGTTCCAGAGAGTCCCAGCATACACATTTGTCACTTGCTGACCGTACACTAGGAGATTTTCTCTTTTTCCTGGGCTTTTTTTCTTTTTCCTTTTTTTTTTTTACAAGATAGTGAAGCTTATGGTGTAAGCTTCACTATATGGGGTATAGCTCATTAGCTAACATCTTCCTGGTGCTGTGGGAATTACTATATCCAATGCTTTTAGAGAAGGTATTTGTACTGCTTTTACCTGCCACTCTCCATATCGATCAATTGCTGCTTTCAGGAATTTATTTCTACCATATTACAAAGATCACCTTACTTCAAATCCACTCTGTCTCCTGGTTACATGTTAGCAGGAGAAGTATGGCTTGTGTTGCATTTTCTTAGACTATTATTCTGTATTAAAAGAAGATTAATTATAATGACTTCGCTTAAAATGTCATGGTGCAGTGAGACGACTTTCAGTTCCCCTAATTTAAGGTACTTAAGGCTACTCCTCCTGTTATGTCCTGTTTTTGTATTATTTATATTTTTTTTTCTTCAGTAATTTTTCCTTCTGGTGAAGTCTGCTGAGTAACAGCCCTGGAGCCTGCAGGCTCACATCTGCAACCAGCTCTCCTCGCCAGTACTCTGAGTGTCCCCTGGGAAGGGTGACTGCCAAAGGAGCAGCCTCTAGGAGGAAAATGAGGCACTTTCCCCAGGACCATCCCCCACCCCTGCCAGGCTTGGGCAGAGACACATGGGCAACTCAGTATAGGGAGAGAAATTAAAAATGAACCCTCTGCCAGGTAAAACATTACAAACAACAAATAATAAACAGTCTGCTCTCAAATATAAGAGAGTGAAGAATGTTTGTTTATAATCTCGTTTGGTACAGAAACAATATAATATATAGTGTTATACTGCATGATATATAGGATGTTTCAATGGGGTTTCAGTGTCTGTAAACAAAACTTCAAAAGAACAACTGTTTTCCAGCACTTATTATGAGGCACATTCTTCCCTTACAAGGTCCCCACACCTAAATTCCAAATACTGGATCAAAAAGTGTGGTGACCTTAATTCAAACCTTCTGCTTCTCAATGCATTCTCATACTGAAATTTAAAAGATTCTGCTCATCCTTTTTTTACAAAATAATAAAAATTTGAAAGTCACCTAAGCACAGTCATTATTGCTTGGCTGTTTGCTCTTTTAGAAAGAAATATGGTCAGAAGGGATGACTTGAGCACTGCAGTCACACTAACAGGAGATATTTGTCCATGGTGAAGACCTCCCTAAAGACAGCAGCAATACATCATAAGTAAATTTAATCTATTGCATCACTAATTTGACACTCCCAGCAGCCTGCAGAGAGTTCCCAGGGACTTGGCACTGACCCAACACATCTCCTGCCTTATCCAGGGTAGTATGACAATCAAGGATGAAGTGGGAAGGAAAACTTTGGAAAATACCACCACATAAATGAAAAACAATGGAAAGTTCCTAGTTTGGGTTAATTTCAGAAATTGTCCAAGAATCTAGCATCAGCAAGCTTTCAACTTGATGATGAAGTTAAAAAAAAAAAAAAGTAAAATGAAAAACAAATTCCTAGCTGATGGGAAGATTATCTATCTATCTATCTATCTATCTATCTATCTAGATAGATAGATAGATTAAAATTCATGGAGATATAGTATATTCCAAGTCAGTTACTGCCAATAAAGTGAGTGCTGTTAACTGCAGAGTATCCAGGATTTGTTATTTGTTTATATTAATGAAGAAAAAAAAAATCCAGCAAATTGGGAGCATGGTGCAGAGAGAAACTTCCTGGGTCATAAAGTCCAGACTACGAGTATCCCAGGCACCACATAATTGGTTCCTTTTCATCTTAGTTATCTCTGGTCTCCTAGATTGATGTGGAAAGAATGTAAACCAGGAGATATTAGCAATCAGAAAGTAAAAAAATGACTGTATCATAAGCAAAGCCACACCAGCACTGAGAGCAGCCACAAACATAACCATGTGTAAGGCTCAGACAGGTAAGGCAAAGACTAAAGCGTAATGAAAATTTGATTGATTTTTGTGGAAATGTGCTGTGGTCTCAACACAGATGTAGCACAGCAGTGGCAGAAGGGCTCCTGGGCAGAGCACTGAAGGAGGGACCAGGGATGGGGGCTGTTGGTGCCTCACTCCCACTGTGCTCAGGGGCTTCTTCCACTCCTACCTGATGGTGTGTGAACACTCTCCACTCATAGAGTTTCAGCCCATGGTGATGAAATGCTCAGCTTAATACAACCAGAGGTTGACAGGGATGGGAACACAGCTGTGTCCTGCAGGGATAAACCATGACAAAAGGTGTTCAGAGCTGCTGATTCACTGCTTTTACCAAGTGGTTCACCATCACTGTAGCAGGCATCAGAGTCCACCCTCTCTTCCCTGTCCTGCAGTGTCCACTAAGCTGCAGGGTTGTGTTTCCATCCAGTCTTCTTACCTCCATCACCTTTAATCACCTCTAATTCACCTCTGTGAAAACTGAGATTTGGGAACTCAGTTCTCCTTGGGTAGAGTGGAAATCAAAGTCTTTATCTTTTGTCAAATGAAAGCCTCATGTCTTTTAGAGGAAGGGAAGGACAGGGGAAAACCATAGCAAACTGCATGAGGCAGAGGGAATTGATTGCAACCAGCCAAATGTAATTGCATTGTGGAGGACATTTAATATTTCAGCTTGTTCTTTGCTGTATCAGGAGGGCAAAGAATATCAACATATGAGGAAAGGAGAGCCTGCAATGTCTCTTGATTTGAACTGTAAATGCCCACAAGCAAAACCATGAGGCACTTTCAGATAATCTGAAGTGATGTTGACTGAATGTGTGTGGCCCAGACTGCAGGGAGAACCAGAACGCCACTGGACCTGCTTGGAGACAGCAGTGGCCCTAAACCATCATGGCAGGCCCCCAGCACAGCAGGTATTTAACCCAATTCTAGTAACTAATTTCTCTCTCCCCTTCACTCCTGGGTAGGTACAAACACACTGGCAAAGGGCTCTCAAACCTTTGCAAGGAGGAAAGATCTTTGCATCCTACAGTCTTAAATGGCCCTACCCTCAAAGCCAGACCTTATAACTCTGACTGGACCAACTTGTCTATAGCACTTTGGCCACCTACCACAGAAATGTAACTCCCTGAGGTGGATCAGAGCTGGCTCAAGCTACAGTTTACATCGCAGTGGGAATAACTGCCCCAAGAGCTCCATATGCTCATCCTTTCTGGCAGCCTAAAGCTGCCAAACACCTCTCTGTTTGCCTTGATCACTTCCATGCTCACTCAGCCAACTGCAATCCAGCTGCACATATTAATTATTGAAAAAGAGGGGGAGATTTACTCATTTTTCCAGATGATTAATCAGCTAGTCAGGCATAACACCACCCATGCTATTGTAATTGCAGTCAAATAATAATGTTATATATACTGCAATCATAGCCATCATCAAACACCAGAAGAGCCTGGTAATATAAGCAATGTCATCTGTTCACAGTCTCTACAACCTGAAATTATTTAGAATCTGGGATAAATTCTTAAAGATGAGATCAAGGTCTTGGTACAGAGGAAGACTGGAAACCAAACAGTGATAGAAGCCAAAACAAGAGAGGGTTTTTGCACAGATTGGGGACAAGGATGCAAATCCCTTCCAGGTTTGATTTTCCTGACTTGGTGGTACACATGTGCAGACAGGAACTGCTCAAGAGGTCAGTGCACTACAAAATGCTGTTGCAAGCGCTGCCCCACTCCCTGCTGCTGGGACACATTCCCCCAGCCCTGAGCATGCTGCTCATCCCAGGGTGTGAGGGTGGAAGCCACCCCTCACCACCTAATGGAGAAGAGACAGGCAGGGCCAAGCTCAAAAGCATTCCATGCATCCCAAATCTTCTCTCAAGAGTGACCACCATAAAGGTGATCTGGAGAGAGAAGACAGATATCTTGGGTGATTACTCTCTTAAAATAAACCACAGTCTTCCTTTTGTTATCCACTCTGGTCTTGAAGCAACCAATGAATAGCTAAGACAGGGAATTTGTTTAACAGGATTTACCAGCTTTGCATCCTTATTTATCGCTCTTCCTGGCTGGCTGAGTAAGTACCCCAGCCATTAGGTTACCTTCTCAGTAATTCTCCATGCACAGTTGGTCATCTCATCTCACTGACCTTGTCACTGAACTAACTGCAGTGAGTCTCTTCTAAATTTCTGTTCACTCATTCTCTTCATTCAGATCTCAAACCAAAACCATAAAGATATGAATGTTTATCCCCCAGTCCTATTGCTCAGCAGCCACAATGTGCATTTTTTTCTCTGCAGTCTCCATTTCACACAGGATCAATACCTCCTCCAACTTTCTAAACTAGCGAACTTCTGAGAAGGGATTCTAGTCTTGCATCCTGAAACTTGGCTGCAGCAAGGAGCAGTTTTCACTGCTCATATACTCATATGAGTAGCCAAAATATGTATTTACTAGGGAATGCAGGTGAGGGTGCCCACAGTCCAGCTCCTGCATAAACACAGTGACCAAGAGTGCAGTCCCCAAAGGCACACACAAACACATGGTAGGCAAGGGCACTGCCTACCCAACTGTCTCAACACATCTCAGATTCCAAAGCCACTTTAAAAGACCTCGTGCACTTACACAAGTGTTTTGAACTCATCATAAGTTTGGACCAAGCACCTGACTTCTGTCTTACACTCAAAATAGGCTCAACAAAGAATATTTGGCTGTCAGCCTTGTAGCACTGTATCTTGCATCTTAGCACCGAAATGAAAAGACTTGATGATGTAGCCAGAGCTTAGAAGAAAGGATATAATGAAGAAGCAGCATGAGAACTTACAGTCATCACAGCAGGTGTAAAAAAGTGTCTTCTGGGTTGTTACTTTTTTTTTCCAGTGCGTATTTTGCCCAAGGCTGGTGGTATTCACTTGTTGAGCAGCTTTTTGGTGGTCTGCGGGAAGCTGATCGGTCTTCTCAGTGGGGCAGTTTTAGTTGGGAACAGATAATTCAAGACAAAGGCTATCAGGCTGTTGTCTGGCTTACAAACACTGGCTGAGCCTGCTCCAGGCCTGCCTTCCAGTGGAACTGACACAGGGATCTTTTCTCGGCTAAGTAATGAGCTGTATTGATTTTCCTCAAAAAGAAAATTGGACTTTTACAAACAGCACAACAAGCTTCTTGAGTCAGGATGTTCCTGAAGGGATCTTGTGACCACCACAGGCTCTTGTGCTTATCATGAAAGAGAGAAAAAAAAAAAAAACCTCAGTGGGTTTGCTCTGCAAGGGCGGGTTACACAGTCAAAAGCAAATCTCCTTCTTAATACCTTGGACAAGTACCAGACTAACGTACCCTGCAGAGGCACTTATTGGCATTTATTCATTTGAAAAGCATCTGCATGAACAACTTTGTGCTTGTTCTTGAGAGTCAAGGCCCAAAGACTGCACCAGGAGGCCACATCTCTCTCCAGCCTTTTCCCAGTCTCATGGAAATCGACCCTCAGCAGCAAGGAGCACTGGGCCACTCCATTTAGGCCACCTGGTAGATCACTGCTGTTCATCTGGGCAAAATAACTGCAAGAGTTGAGCCCCTGGCAACATCTGTCTGCTCTTCCCTGAGCTGTTGAGCATTTTGGACCTTCTGAGGAAGCCTCATCACACAGTAGAAAACAGGGGATTGTCATCTTCATTTACACCAGACTATTCAGGTCTGGCCAGCATAGGTTTAGTTCTTACCTCCTAAAGCTTAAAATTACTAGCTATAATCTCCATTCCAATCTCCAGACCTACAGCATGTTCCTGAAGCTGATCTGCAAGGAGAAGGACATTCAGCCAACCTCGCAACAGTCAGTGGAATATGACTCCTGCCCCAGTACCACTCCAAAGGTTCTGGTGGTCTGGTACAGAGCACAGAACTGCACACCCGGGACCTGGCTGTGTGCACCAGCTCGCTCAGGCTCACCTGGACACCTCTGTCCCCTCACTCTGCTCCCCACTTGCCAGGACAGAAAATCCATCTCTCTTGCAGAGGGTGCTGCTCCCTGTGCACCCTTCCACCCAAGCCTGGGCACCCTCACATGCAGGGATGCAAAGGCAAATCCTCTTCCTCTGCTGAAAGGGATCATTGCAGAGCATCTGAAGGAATCAATCTAACCAGGATGTGACAAGCTGGTCTAATGAGGCCAGGCTGCCCCCAGGAACCAAACCCCAGCAGGGTTTGCACTGTGCCCCAGCCCTTTGGGGCTGCCAATCCTCACACCAACACCAGTGCCACCTCCAGTCCCCAGCTACGTGCTTGCAGGCCCCCAGGAGACACCACCAGCACCAAGGCAGGCAGGAAGGCAGTGGGGGCATTCCCTGGATGTCCCAATCCCAAGGCTTTGCCATGCAGGGCAGCCTCAGGCATCCACTGCTTCCAATGGCCCCAGAAGGCAGCAGGAACACCCACGCAAAGCTGGAGGCAGCTTCAGCCTTGCTCTCATCTGTGATGAGACAACACCCAAGAGTCTGACTGCTAAATGCCATGGCATCCAATTGTTCTCTGCAGTTTGACTCAGAGATCACATGAGTCCTAGCTCTGTCTGAAATTATATGTCTTTGGACTCTGAAATTAAGCATTTACGGGCTATAATCCCTCTGAACAGGCATGGACACTATAGAAACCTACAGAGAAAAAAAAGGAAACATCATTAAAGTTTGCAAAATTAGAAAACTAAAGAAAAAATCAATAGCAGTAAACTCAGCAGGGAAAAGAAGTGTTAATTTTGCATTGGTAAATGGGAATTACAAGAAAATAGAAAATACATAAAGTGTAAATTCAAAGTCTTAAAAACACAATTAAAGGAAGTAGCTGACACACTTACCTGGGCCATAAAGGAATGCAATTTAAACCACGAAATAGGCTTTCCTAATATTTTCCATATTAGTAATTTTTGTGTATTATTTAGTGCATTATATAATCTGGAGAAATATTAAGATCTCTCCAGTAAAACCAATACTTTATTATTTCATTTTAACACATGAGAGGAAGAAAGTTTTACAAGACCTCTGGCTCATAAAACAAGATATTTTCCTTCCTAATGGGATAAATAGAGATCACAGCAGCAAGCAAACTAGAAGTAGCCATAGCTGACCTAACTTGAAACACAAGAGCTCCAGTGATGAGAGTAAAAATGAGCACCACATTGTAAAGATGTGCTCAGGCCCCAGCAGTCTGCCTGACCCAGCTCCTGCATGGTACATTCCCCCCAGGAACCAGGAGAAATTTGTTGTACCCAGCACCACTGGCAGCATGTTGAAAGGAGGAGTGGAAAGGCTGAGGTGATCAACAGCTCAGAGCAAGGCGTAATAATCCCATTTTCTAAAGATTCCCCATTTACAGTCCCTCTTCCCTTTAATATAGACTGTGTTGTTTTAATGATGAATGAGCTTCTTTTGACCTGGCTTTGGGAGATCTCCAAAGCTCAGATTAGCAATGCCTTTTGCAGAGAAAAAAAAAAAAAAAAAAAAAAAAAAAAGCCACCAAAAAAAGGGGAAAACAGTGATAAATTTTGCTTCCTGTCTTAATATGAGATGTTGATGTCACCTAACCAGATTCACATGACACCTGCCCTCCTTTCTAAAAATATATTAAAAGCAGCAAAATATCTCCTCTCCCCTTGTTATCATCCCTTCGCTATTTCTGCAGAATTAGGCTGAATGCACTGATTATTTTCCATGTGCATTAATCATGGCTAAATCATGCTAGAGAAGAAAAATGTACAGCCTGCTGTTCCTTCTCAGCATCCTCCTCTCACCCTGCTCTCAGAACAGTCTCAGCCTGGAGGGCATCCTGCCAGTGTGATTAACAGTGTGAAGTGGGGAAGGGAAAGAGCTGGGAAGATTAAGGGAAAGGACCTTTCCTTAAAACTTAGACATGTCTTTGGCTTATGAGAGAAGCAAACCCTTGAGATCATCATGTACCTGCACCCAAAAGCTTCCTCAGCCCATGAAATCCAGACATGATGGACTGCTGTCATCTTCTGCAGTCTCCTTCCAGCCCCACTCCAAGCTCACATATCCTAACATTAGACTCAGGAGAAATGCCTACCAAGCTTTTCTCTTTTTCTGTTGTGGTTGTGCTTATTAAAATATTCAGTAAAAATTTAATAAATTATGAAGAGCTGTGAACGGTCAGCCTATTGTAGTAGAATTGGATGGAGCCCACCAGGACAAAAGGTAGAAGGAAATAATGTTATTCCCTCCTTGACCAGATTTCTCTCTCCCAGTGTTGGAGCTCTAGAGTAAGCATTTTCCCAGAGCTGGCCAGGAGGTTCCCTTCACCATGGACCAAGAGAAAGTGAGTGCTCAGGGTGACTCAGCTTGCCTTAATACAGACATTTAAACAGGTTGAATCTCTTGAGCCCTGGACTGGCTGGTCACTGAGCTGAGGGAATTCCTAGACTACCTTTTGGCAAGCATTGGAAGACATGCACATTCACCTGCTTGGGCTGGGTTCTGGAGTCAGTGAAACTGCAAATATCTAATTAGAGCTGTGAATGTCACATTTCAAGCTTGATTTGGCTACCACCTCTCCCTGAAAGGAGGCAGCTTGTGCTACCAAGCAGGGACAGAAGCAGAAGCTCTGATCCTCAGCCTGTAAACTCCTCCAAAGAGGATCCCTGCTGCTGGCTCTCCTCCACGGCAGCTGCTGCTGTGTCAGAAGAATGGGTCCTGCCAGAAAGATTTTTCCATTTTGCTTTTCTTTTGCCAAAATCCTTGAGGGCATTGTCACTTAAAAAAAGAATTGCATCCAAAAGAAAGCAGATCTGAAGTGGAAATGACCTGGCAGAAGGAAAGGATGACAAGTCTAGGAAGTGAGCAGTTAGTGCTGGGCTCTTTCCAGAGGCACTGCGGTCGTGCCACACATTAATAAGTTGTGACAGGCATAAAGATGGGCAAACATCTGCCTACAAAGCCAGCTGCTTCATCCATAGATACAGTCACTGAGAAGCTTGGGAGAAGGTTTAGTCCCTGTCCTTGCAAAGCAAGGCTAGAGGGTGGGGATCCAGAACAGGGGAAAACCAGAGTTCAATTATGAAACCTCCCAAGACTGTTGATGCAGCTGGGGATGGAGAAACACACTCAGGTTTCATGTACCATGGCAAAAGGATTAGGGTGCGTGTCAGAGCACTAAGGGCACAGTGACTGAGTTTTTCCCAGGCAAGTGCAAAAGTCTCCCCTTCTGCAGTGTCTCAGAAAGAAAAAAGCAGGGCCTTGCAGAAGGGTTTTTACTGCAGGATGTTCTCCCTCTGGCCTGGAAATCCACATGAGATTCACATTCTGTATTACAGATGTTTCATGCTTACAGCATAATGTTTTGGGCTGCATCCAAAACATGCTGAAAATTTTGCACTGTGAGGTGGATCAGATAGCAGAAGGCATGGAACATGGCCTGAAATTTCAGATTTACAATGGTTTTGTTCTCTGGGAACAGAGACACATGCAGTAATCTGCTGTGACAGCAGGTGGCTTGAGGAATATTTACTGAAAGATGGATTTTCCTCCCCATCATGCCCAGAGCAATGCAGTCAGGCAAAACAAAGTGATCACAAAAACTACACACAGTGACAGAATCAAAACATGTCACAAGAAAAACACCTGGTGTTGTTTTGGTTTTGAGGGGGGCATCGCTGTTGGGTACCAAAAAGCTCCCAACACTGCCATCAGTCATTCAGTTTCAAAACAGCTCAAAGAAATATTGCAGCTTTGTCCCCATGATAGTTCAGGCACAGTTTGACTGAAGTAGCCCCTCTCTTTAGTAGTGAGGACTTGAAGCAGCCAGCTTGCAGGACATAGGATGTTCCAGCTCGCAGGGTCTATTTAAGTCCCATGAAGGTTAGTGTGGTTTTGGGCAAATCATCTTGAAGATAATGCGACCAAGCAAGGGCAAAGAGGGAGCTCTGAGGTTGCAAGGTGGAGAGTATGCTCACTACCCTCAGCCCAAGGGACTTGGTATATACAACTGTCTGGGCCTCCCTGTGCCACCTGACAGCTCCCTTGGCCTTGGGCATCGTGCCAAGGATTTGTCTAACAAAGGTGAGAACAGCTGAGGCCACTACAAACCCCCTGGGCAAGGACAGCCGCCACCTACAGACCTTCTCCATGAGATCACCTATTGCTGACTCCTGGTGTGATCTTGGCCTCTCAGTCCCGTCATGACATCATCTACAGGCAGAGGCAGATGAATTAAACCCCCTTAAGGAGTTCCAAGAGAAAATTTTCCCTCCAGAGACATACTCTGATTCATACTTAGGAAAGGTCCAGTGCTACCCACCACAAATGTACCACAGGCTGGTGGCCTCAGTGCCTCATCACGGCGTTCTTCACAAACACTGGTCATAAAGAAAACAGGCAGGATTTTCCCCAGCATACACTGCAAAGGGCAGGTGAAGCCATCAATGCACTCTGTAGGGTGCATGTCCCTGCACCCCTGCCTGAGGTGGAATGCTCTGATCAGTACATTTCAAATAAAATACACTCACATTCATCAGCTCCAAAGGAAGAAGAAACTTCTTGCAAGCTTTTCACAGAAGGGCCAGAGGACAGCTGGATCACTGATGGGAAAGGGCAAAGTTGGAGTAGAGCTTAATATTAGACTAGTGAGAAGTCTATGAAAACACTCCAAAACTGCTTGTATGCTGTCTGAGTTAGTACTGAAGGGTACCCTGAAGGTTTTCAATCGTTTGCAAGGCTTTGGCACCGGCATCGATGTTTGCAACCTGAATTCACTTTGAACACGGTGTTCTCGGCTGTTGGCGGCTGAAAAAATTCTGCTCGAGACGCTGAGGCAGACGTGCAAAAAGAAGAGACTCCTACCTTGCTGCTTCTACAAGATTCTCAGAAACAGTGCACCAGAGAGGCAAGGACAGCCAAAAAGGACCTGAAATAGTTGAACAGAAAGAAAACTCTGATGTGGCCTCTCTTGCAAGGGCCATTCCTTCTTCTACCCCATCCTTTGATACTGCTCCTGCTTCTGCTTAGAAAATTAAAACTACCAGGATTAACAGTGGGTCACTCCTTTTCTTATGTGAATGCCACTGCTGATGGGAAAGCAAGGCCACCCACATGCCGTTCTCCTGATCTTCTGAAACTCTCCCATACTCTCAAAAAACTTCCCAGAGCCATGACTGAAGATGGCTGCTGACACAGCCAAGTGTGAACCTGAGATTCAGCAGCCCGTGGGCAAATGTTGCTCGTTCACATCCACGTTCCCTTCCAAAGCTGTGCTTTGGATTCCACAGCCTGGATTCTGCCGTGTCTCTGAGAGCCTGCAAGCACATCCCTGCCTCCAATGAGAGGTCTCCATCTCTCCTCCTCTGAAATGACAGGCTGCATTCGACTGTTCAGAATCACATTTGGTTCTCATTTTCAAACAGACATCCAAGATATTATTTTTAGAAGAAGCTATACTGGTATTTGCAAAAAATAGCCTTCTTTGCTTTTATCCCAAATGGGGTCTTTTCCAAGTTTCTTTTCCTACTTTAGTCATATCTCTAAAGCTGTTTGCATTAAACAATCCAATTCCAGAAGCACATTAATCAGACTCTCTTTGGGCTCCTATTGCATGTGCCTTTCTCTGTGTCACAAGGCAAAAATAGAATCAGCTATCACCTAATTCCCTTCCCCAGCAGAGGAAGCCCCACTTTGAGGGCCATATATGAGTGATAGCAGGTCCATTCAGCACTGGCCTGGTGCCACTGCCATCCATGCATCGAGAGGGCAGCCTCCCAAGACCTGTGCCCAAGCATGGGGAGTTGGCCCTCACCAGTCCCTTGCAGGTAACAATGCAGATCCAGAACCTGGTGCAATTTACCAAAAGGAGAGGAGAGCTGCCAGCAAGGGCTGGCTTTCCCAGGTGCTGACTTGCCTGCCTGGCTGTGGTCCTGTGGGGGCCCTCAGAAATCTGCTCTGGAAATAGTTTTCTCTGCTTGGCTATGTTTACAGCTCTGAGAAAACCTGGCCAGATAAGTGAAAACACATCCCTGATGGGTACTGGGGGTTGTGTTGCCTGCTGGCAATTAAACTCAAGGCAATTCAGCAGAGATAAGCCATAAAAACAAATACAGGTTTGTTTGGGTTTTCTTCAGCAGATTCCTAGAAAAAGACCTGGACTTAATGAGGTATTGCTGCAGCATCCAGAGGCAAGGCAAGCATGGAGTGCTGGAGTCTGCAAACAGAGTGCCAGTCAGCCTGCAGCTACAGGAGCAGGAGGGCAGAGTAAGGCTGGAAGTCTCACACTCTGGCTCCTTCCCCAGGAGTCTGCAGGTGCCCCTCAGGTGATGCTGTGAGCATTGGGGATGCACATACCTCAAGCAAGGACCATCATCACGGGCCTCTGTGACCTTGGAATCCAGGCTCCCTCGTCCATCATCAGCAAAGTGTAGAGCTGCAGGGACAGCATGGACTCACACGACCACCCAGACCAGGGATGTTCTTTCCTGGCAGGAAAGCAAAAGGAATCCTAAAGACACCAAAG